TGGAAAATTTTTTGTCTGCCTGGGTAAAATTTTGGTCAGAGAAAGACACATGTCCAGAAACAAACCAGATATGTAATAGCCCTGTCAGTGAGGAATTAACAACCGATTTGGAGAAAAGTCTGATTAGTAGGCAGTAAATAAGGCTTGATGTGACTATTGAAACCATGAGCGTAAACCAAAAATGAGTAACTGCTCATTTAATGACTGTCATCCATCCTGTGCAAGAGTTGAGTGCTTGTGGAGAAAATGGGAGACAGTTGTATAACAGTGTTAAAACACATAGGCATAAGCAAGATGTCTAAAGATAGCAGAGATGCCTTTTATTTTGGCACTTGCAATATCAAGCAATAGGAAAACCCCTGCTACAGACCCTATCTGTAGGGGAGGGCGTTTATTGCCTCTGGAGGCACTGTGATGCGGTTAAGTGGGAGGCAGGCTGAAGCGGAGGCAGTCCTGCATTCCCACTGGTGTTGCGCACAAGCTTGGAATAGTGTGCTAAACAAGCTGTCCCCCTTCACCCACCATTCGCACAGTCACTGTGTCTGCCTGTGGCTATGTTTGTGTGTGTGTAATGCTTTAATGTTAAAATAGAGATGGTCTTTTTGTAGGCTAATATTGAAAAGATTAGAATTTCTGGGCTAGTATTGAAAAGATCAGATCCATATGCAATCTTGCTTGTCAGGTTACTTTGTCAGGTCAGGTTCCCAAGACACCCTGCACATTGTCTTTTGCCTGATGGACCAGGCGGTTTGCATCTGGCCAGCTAAGCCAAGTGAGTTACTTTGATCAAGACTGCTAAAGCACATCCTGCCCAAAAAGCGAATTTTGTTTATGCTTAGTTTTGGAGTAATCAGCACAACAACAGATAATAGTGTCCTTATAAGGTCTACCCTCATTATAATACTAAAAATCACACCCCTTAGTTAGAAGACCCCTGCCCAAAAGAGACTTCTACCCTCTCAGCCTGCATAATGATTAACTTATGTAATTGTATGCAAATTACTAACCAATCACATAATACTTGGGAGGTGTCAAAGGCATGGAATACTGAAGTAGAGATGTATATAAACTGTAAAGCAAAACAAGGAGGTGTGCTAGGTTTGTGGAATTTCCTAGCACCCTTTTCTGCACGGAACTGAAATAAGTATCTCAGCTCCGTGTGCACGACTGGCTTATTGCACACCAGGTACCGGACCCCGCTTGTGGGACAGCGTTTTGGGTGTTGCTCAATTGTGCATTGCTTTAGTTCTGGGAGAAAAATTCTTTTCTGACCCTAGATAGGGATCAGCTCTGCTTATGCTGCAAGGAATAGAGATTAATATCCCCTGTGACCTTTTAGTTTAGCTGCTGCAGGGTTTTTAACTAGTGGGCTTAAGACCCCATGTGTGGCAGCTATGCCGACGTGAATGTCTGTAATGTCTCTTCTTCTCAATGATCCGTGAACTAAGGAATCTCCAAGGATATCTTGATGTGCCGTGGAGCTGTTATGGTCTAGTGCAGGAAAGAACCACGCAATGATAGAATGAAAAGCTGGTGTCACAAGTAATGTGTAAGTTGTTCTAAATGTACCTGACAACAGTTGTCCCTGGCTGTGTATTTACTTAAAAGATGTGGCGGTGATATGGTAGGAAAACCAAATATATTTAAACAAAACCCCAAACAACAAAAACAAACAACAAAAGCGCTATTTATGACTTCTCTGTTTCTGTTTCCTTGGATGTTTGCAATGTTGTACGAACTCTATAACATAATGGAGAACAGATAGTAAAAAATAAGTGTATAACATGAAGAAGCCCCCACCTAGTTCTAGCTACCTCATCCTCCTCCCCACCCCTGCTGCTGAAGGGTGGGATTGTCCAGAAAACAATCCAGGAAGGAATTGCTTCCTAAAAATAGTTTTTCCTTAATTTTGGACGTATTTGTTTTGACTTGCTTTGGCTATTCTGTAGTAACGTTTTCATTGCTGGTGTGCATAAAAGGTTTGTAGTTTGTTTAAACCATTTTTAGCCATTAGTTTTAAATAGCCAGTCTTTTTGCAACAGTATCTCAAAGAACTGCCTGGGGCTAGGGACAGCACTGATATAGGACTGAGGTCTACAGATGCTGTTTCAAACATGCCTTGGGTATATGGGTGGTGTTACATTCACCTTCTCAAGCTATATTACCTGCTTTGGTGTCTAGGGTAGGTGATAAGTAAAAACAGAAGTGCCTGAATCCAAGAGAAAGATCCAGAGCCTTTTGTCAGCCTTGCTCTGGAGGCATTGACTGCTCAGTAGGTACATACGTGTACATCCACCAACCTCCCTGTATGCTCCAAGTTTCAGTGCCTATTGATGTTTAGAAGCAATCCAGCATGACACACTGGGCATCGCGCTCTTGCTTAAGCTTCAGTGTCACCAGCGTGAGGCCAGAAGCCCCCAAAATCTTGGCTGCTGGAGGACATGGGAGACGCTCATTTGGTTTCTCCCTGCCGTTTTAAGACCATGTAAATTTTTCTGCCTCCCGCTCCCCAGCTTCCTGCGCTAACCACTCTTCTGAAGTGAGCACGTGTTTGCGTGGCTGCTGTGCCTTGCCTCCTGCCCATGGGTTGGCCCAGCTTCCCCCCGAGACAAGGAGACTGTCTCCTCCAGTAAGCGGGGTGTTCTGGGATTAAGGGGATCTGGATGCAAGCGTCAGCCCTCTTAAGACAAAAGGGAGTTAAACACATGCCTGCAGGGTAGGAACTAGCTGTAATAAACAGATACAAGAGATTGCTGCAGTAAGTACATGTTCTGTTTAATGGATTTCTAGGAATTGAATGCAGCAGTTCCTTAGAAATGTTTTATTTACTCTCTCTTTTTTTGCTACATGTGGGGAAAAACCTCCAGATGTTTAAGGACCGTTTTCCTTACAGGGACAAGCTGGTTGTGTAGCAGATCCTAACCTGTATTTGAAGACAGGGCAATAGATTCTGTGCCAGGGTTGTTCATTTATAAGTTGACTCATCAGATCTGAATGGGTTGTAACCTATATTCAGTTCCTCTTTTATCCATTTCCAGTGCATGGCAAGTGACATCACTTTTTCCTATCAGTTATCATCTTTTGTATTTTAAAATTAAATGGTCTTAATTGCCACAGAGCTAGAGCTGTCCAGCGATGTATCTTGCCCTTCCTTGGCACCGAGAGAAACCAAAATTGGGGTCGTCACCCTTTCCACCTTAGTTCTGCTCTGCCCAGAAGTTGGTAACAGCCCATGGGAATGATCTGCAAGCTGAAATGTGCGGCACAGCACGAGGACGAGTAAACCCCAGTGCATCTTGCTGCACTCAGTGGAGTGCCAGCTGTGGAGTGGCAACGTGTTCTTGTTGAAGTCTTCAGCCACGTGGAAGCTGTGTGGCTTGTGGGTTTAAGTGAGGGCAGCAGGTTTCCATGACTTAGTTGCAGGGAGCAGGAGTGAAGAGGTGGTGGAGCAGACCTGGTGTGCAGCTGTGGGCAGCAGTAAGGACCATCAGTTTGGCACCGTTGAGAGGCAGAGCGTGTGTTTGCTATAGGCAGCGTTCAGGGAGGGCAGAATGAAGGTCATGTGGATATATGTTTAACTTATTGTCAGAGGTTTGAATTTTGCTAAGCATGAGGGAGTACAAAGGCATAAGAAACATCCTCCTTAATACCATCTTGATCTTGCCTTATCTGTTTTTATAGAACTGTAAAAGGTTGTTTCTTCTTGTTCTGGCTTCTCTCTGCTACCACGTGCTCCTGCTGCACGCACCCTTTGTCACGGGCTGCCTTCAGCTGTGCAGCCTGAACTGCGTGCCACGCCAGGCCCTGCACCCTGTTCTTTCCCTGTCTGTCTGTATTTCTTCTTCCCTGTTTCTTCTCTACCACCTTGGTCTTGCCAAACCCTCGATGCAGCTAATGGATGACCCCCCCCCCCCCCGAAAAAAAATTGGTTAATGCAACCCTCTGCATTGCATAGCTATGAATCATAATTTAAAAATTTTTTATTTCCAGAGGTTTCTATCTGGGTGAATGTCAGGGACCCCACCTGTCCTGAGTCAGAGAACAAGGGAAAGGAACTGATGCTCTTTTTGTGTGGTAAGGACCTAGACTTTGGGTCATGTGGGATTTAGATAAAGGGGCAGGCACCTCTTTGACCTTGAGCCTTAAATACAAACCTAGCTGTACAACATAGCTCACTTTTGAATGTGCAGTTTAATATTGCTTTCTTGAATGGTTCCTGGGACAAGCTGGATAATGGGTTTGCCTTAAAGTCGTGCTGCGACTTACTACTTGTATAAAAAAGTTAGTAAAGTCTGTACATCTTAAATTGTTTGGGGGACTGGGGGAAGATTGTACTTTGGGAATCACTGTTTTAAGAAATTTGGATTGCTAACTCTGCCGTGAATCCCAAAGTGACATGTTGGGTTTAATGAAAAAATCCAAGTCAGCATGTGGATGTTGGAGTACGTTGAAAGAATATTGAAAGAGAATGAGGCTCTCAACTTTGTCTATAGTAGAGCTGTCAATTCAACCGCATCGTAATCTCATTAGGGTGAGGGCTCTTGAAAGTGCTAAGTGCAGACTTCCCTGATGCTGGTTGGCACATTTAGGCACGTATGTAATACAACAGTATAAAAAGCAATTTAATGCCTCATGTGATTTGTGATTCATGGGTTGGTGGCTGCTAATATATTGTGGTGATCTACAGATTAAAAGTTTGGCTTGTTAGGTTCAGTGTGGGCAGGGCATTTAATTTTCTTGCATTAATTTAACAGGATTTGGGCCAAAGGCAGCAAAGAAGTTGTGTTTTTTATCGCTGTAAAAGCATTATGATTTGTGATCTCAAACCTTAGCCTAGTAAAGAGATACTTCAGAGCTAGATGGTTGAAAAAGAGGGGGACTGGATGGGAACGGGGGGCTGAAAGACACAGAAGAAACAAGTCTCATAGTCTGAATTATTCTACAGCATGTAAAATTCATTTTTCTGGTGATTATATTCTCTTTTAGATTTCTGAGTGAAGATGAATTTAGCAGAGATTTGTGATAATGCCAAAAAAGGGAGAGAATATGCACTCCTTGGGAATTATGACTCGTCTATGGTATATTACCAGGGTGTCATCCAGCAAATCCAGAGGCATTGCCAGTCGATCAGAGATCCAGCAATTAAGGGCAAATGGCAACAGGTAGGGTGAAATAAGGTTGCCTTTATTATATTACTTGATGTTTGAAAAACACGCTATGCTTCACAAACCTTTTAAGATGTAGAAGACGTGTGTTTCCATTAAGTTTACAACAATTATTTTACAGTATTTTGTTGATATTTATGGGAAAATAATTTTTGTGGCATGTTCAAAAGGGATTCTTTTGTTCTAATTGAATCCATTTTTTGTTGTTTTCACTTCGTGTGTCTGGCTAATCACTGGTCTGTTTGTGTGTGATTGTGTACTTTGGAAAAACTGTTTTGCTGAGGAATTCCTTTTGCTGTTCTATGTTTAGACCATCTAATGTCCAGTAAACTGAGATGTGAGTGAATGGGTTAGCATCACTAGAATGGTTGTCTGATTAGCAGTTAACTATAATGCTACTGTTCGCAAATTTGGATCAGGTTTCTAAAACTCCCAAGTAATACTCTTAGCCTGAGTCTTGCACACGTGCATCTCCCTGCTAAGCAGAGTACTGTTGAAGCCAACTAAGTAATCCGCAGGTGGAATTGTAAGAACCCCCATTTAGCACATTCAGTATTGAAGTCTTCCTTACATTTTGTGGTCCCATTTTTCATTGTACAAAATGTGTTCCATTAAAAAAAAAAATAAAATCAGAGGATAAACATATAACAGTGTATTCCAGAGTAAAGAATTCATGTTGCATAAATATTATGTTTTGAAAGAAGAACATAGCTCCTATAAAAGATAAAATTTTGCAGTAAGTACCTGAAGAGATGACTTCAAGAAGAGTTTTTCTAAGTATTGTATGTTTAAATGATGTCACTTAAAAACAGAAGCAAATTTTTCCTTTTTATTGCAGCAGCTGTTTTGGTTATGGTTTCATGCTTGAAACATCTGACGCTAACATAGAGTATTTTGTGTGCTGACAGCTACAAGACTGTTAGCAATCATTTTGTAATGACAGTGCTATTCATAGGTGTTTGTCATAGAACTGCGGAAGTCTGTCTTCTTATTAAGAGTTTGCCTGCAAAGCATGAGCGTGTACAAGCAGCAGCAGTAGTGCCTAGCTTTCCTGGTGATGTAGCAAGCTCAGTGTTGTACAGGAGACACTCACATTCAAGTATTTGTATTCAAGCTCTTCCCCACCCCAGGGCATGCTGATACAAAGTGTTAACGCCCCATGCGTGTCCTTGTTTTGTGCCAAACTTCTAGCTGATGTCAAGGTAGAGCATGAGGCTTTCCTTGTTCTGCAGCTGCATCACCGTACTGCCTTCACTTCTAGTATTTAGTGTTTCCTCCAATTACATTGATTCTTCCATTAAACTTTTAACAGCTCTTGTGAAGGTTGCTTGAAGTCTTGTGATGTCGTGTGTTGTTTGAACTGCTTCAGAGAAGCCTGTGTTTTGGAGACAAGCCTCAAATGAAAAAGGGCCATTAATAGTTTCCAGGATTATTCCCTGGGGAAGGCAGGTGGCTCCTTAGCAGAGGATCTGAAGTTGGCACCTTCTCAAAAATTATCCCTTTTAGGTAAAAACAGAATGGCCCCTGACAGTGTCCCATAAATGCTTTAGAGAACTGTCCCCAGAAAGATCAGCAGCAGGTGGGGTAGCGTCTGTCACGCTGTGTGCTCATGTTAATTCTGAAACTTCCCAACACAGCGGTGGCAGATGAGCTTTGTCAGAAAATCGCTTTGCCATTAGTGGTGCCAGTCTCGTCTCAGGGACAAACACCAAAAAGTAAGAAGTGTGATTTTTAAAAAAAAGTGCTTCATCCCCAGGCTGTTTGTCTTCTCATTCATTTATGGGACTACCTATGGCACTGGGAACAAAATGATGTAGCCCTGAGAGCAAACAACACAGCCCTGGAACCACTAGCTTTTCCATACCTGCACCTGAATGGCTTGGTGAGACCTATAGAAGTAGATCTGCTTTCTTACTCACTCCTGAGAAATAATTGTTGTGCTTTCTCACTCTGTGCGACAGAGTAAGATGGAGTCAGATGATCTGGGTGTTAGCATGCTTTCCAGCTCCAACAGCAGCTACATCCAAACTGTCAGTCACATTCAGTAGCTGTCTGACAGATAGCTTGTTCTGAAAAAAAATCAAACCAAAAGTTGGATCACAAGAAACACTCATTCACAATATTAAAATGATATTTAGATATTCTTTTTAGATCTTTGTCATGAAAGAGTTATGCCATACACATTACATAAGTTGAGCAAAACTCAGGTACCAGTAATGTGCAGAAGCAAAATCTTCCCATACCTGTATGCTGCTTGCAAGTGGCACAAGAAGCAAAGCAACCCTTAGGTGATGGTTAAGGGGATGAATGCAATTGATTTTTATCTGAAATTCAGTCTCCTCTGGTGTATGGAACTAGCCTGTTCTTCATGTTCTTCAGTTTCTCCATCCTCTGAGGAATCTGAGGAGGATAATACCACTGGTACCTTTTGGAGGTGGAGTTTAGCAATCTCTAGCAGACACTGAACCAATAGAGCTTTTACTGTTGGAAGCGGTCCACAGTGTGAATGTCCATGTAGATACGTGCTTGAAGGAGATTGTTACTTAAACCGGTTCTCTGAGATGCACTGTCGGCGTGCACATTCACAGTCTTGAACCTCCTGAAGAATTCCTGGGAGACTGATGCTGAGGGGATCTGGCAATGTGAAGCATGCCCTGCCTATCTGTATGTTTGTGTGCACAAACGGGGTGTTTATCCTACCTGTGCTTCTGAGGCAGTGAACTCAGTTTCAGGAGTTTGTGCACACGTTCCCTCATAAAACGGGAATGTTCATATGAGTAACTTCTCAAAGAATAGTTACAGCTGTGGCTCTGGAGCTGACCAACTCATACCTGTTACATGAACCAGTTCTCCCTATCTGGTCACCTCTCTACAGTGGGTGCTCCATCCTGAATAGGTACCTTATGCTAGGTGGGTCAGTTTTGTTGCCGTGTGTACTACATGGGGTTTTTCCCAAACACTTTTGATCTGCCTCTTTTTGCTTAGTTGTTTTCAAATTTCTACAGTTGGTAGAATGATATTCTGTGCAAGTATTTGGTGGCTTGTATTTCATGTTGCACAGTCAGGCAGCTTCAGCTTTGCAACTGGCCACCCTGATTTCAAGGGTTCTTGTGCTTCATGCTGATAGAAGGAGGAATGTGAACGTCTATCATCTGCTCTACTGACTGGCTCAGTTCCACTTGATGCAATGCTGCTTCTGGGGCTTCAAAATGAGCGCTGACTTGGGGAGAGGGATTGTGTTACTGGTCTGGCGCAACCTGCAGAACTTCAAAAGACCAAGAGATGCATCCTGGAGGGTCCACCAAAGCACAAATTAATTGTCATTGGTCATCTGGTAGCTAGCTTGGCTTGGGGCTATCAAGGATGACCTGCTCTTGAGACCCTTACTTGTTTTGCATCCAGAGACTTCCCAGCTTGCTCTTGGGTGGCTGAGTGTAGCTCTATTCTTATCCTCACTCCTAGGCCTCCGAGATCATTTGAAAAAGAAAAAGTTACTACTTTGTTGTGCTTTGAGGTTTGACCGACATGTAGGCATATTCATCCATGTAAATTCAGGCTGGGACTGGAAAGATTCAAAATCAGAAGCAACTCATCTCTTTTTCTACTTAACAACAATAAAGGTAGGTTTACTCTCATGACCGCTACTGTGAACTTTTCTTGTGTTGACATTCCCCCTGTTTATTCTGAGAGAGTTTCTTGGCTGTTGCAGTCTTTTTACTAGACAGCTGGCTTGCAGGAAAGAGTTGCTTCAGTGACAGTTCAGCAGCTGCAGGATGACAGCAGAGCGTGCCCCCAGGAGATAGCACTGGCTTACAACAAGGCCAGCGGCTGTCGAGCAAAACCTGCTGCATGTTATAACCGTGTGCTCTGTGTTGCACAATATCTGAAAGCACAGGAGTCTCAGCCAGAGCTGAGGCAGGAGTTCAACAATTCTCAGAGCGCTTGGAGCAGCCTGCAAGGCACCCTTACTAACCGTGGTCACTGGAGCAGGTGATTAGGTGCACTGTATTCTTGCTTAAAGAATAAAGGATGATTTTTACTTTTTTTTTTTTTTAAAAAAAAAAAATTAAACACATTTCAGTCAATCTGTGTTTTTTGTTGTTTTTGCTTCATGCCTGTTTTATTAACACTTCATAGGTTACTTCATGAGTAATTAAGGAATATTCTACAGGTAACTCATGAAGAACCGTGCTTACAGGAGCTATACTTTGACTCCATGGGATCAGAGTGGGTTACAGGGCATCCGTTTTGTGTATGGTTTAGGGAATTATTATTTTCACTTTTTAAAAATTGAGCTTGTTGAATAACTAACACTAATTGCAGGCAGTAATTTCAGGTTTGGAAAATACTTTTATAGAAACTTGATTGATTTTGTTCTAGGATGATATAGTTAAAAAAACCTCAAACCCATGCATCATTTGTATTTACCAAGGTACAAATACCCATGCTTACTGCTATGGGAAGTTTTGTAGAAGAACAAGCTCTAGCATAGCAAATAAATGCTGGTGATGCCAAAGGTACAACAGTTGCCAGATTGTGAAATACAGAGGAAGTCCCTGGAAAGGTTTTTGGAAGTACCACTAAGAAAGAATGAACTCAGCTCTTGGCCACTCTGTTTTATACCCATATGTTAGGATGTATTTTCTGCTTGGTTATTGTAAATCCTTAGGGCTGGAATGTCAAAACAAAGCTGTGGGGCCACCAGCGTGGCTCTGGGGAGCAAATAGTTTCACATGGTGACTGAACCCAGTTAATGTCCTGCTGTACACAGAAATGCCAGGCTCTTCCCCACCTAGTTCTGCCTCCAGCTGGACCAGCTTCTCTCTTCTGCACCCTGCCATTCTTTGTCCTGGCATTCACCTGATCACAGGGTAGCAAGTTAGTGCAGCTTGCTAACCCAACAAAAGTGTCCTTTATTTCCTTTTTCCCCTCCTAGGCTAATTTTCTGCCATTTTACCAAGCTGGGTTACTGTATTGAAAAGCCAGAATTGAATCTGGAAGAGCAGCAGCAGAGTGTGGTTGGGGATGAAAAGTAAGAACTGAGATCTTCCTATCTGGCAGTGGTGAGCTGCTAACTTGGCCCATGCTGTCTCCTGAAACTGCTTAAACATGAATGACCCAAAAGCTTTCATCAGAGTCTCTACAACCTGAGCTGGAGCCCCCTGAGGGCTCTGGCACCTGAGGGAAGGGTCTGAAGGGCAGTGAGACTGGGTGAGTCCAGACCAGTTATTTTCCTGTTTGCAGTCGTCTGAGGTTGCTTCAGAGTAGCACTGATCACTCAAAGACGCTGCTCAGTCATCTCTGTAACTACAGCACAGCCCTTCTTGGCTCATGTCTGGATTATTTGTTTCTCAGCTGCAAGAAACTCTTTCTGCACCTGTTTCATCTGGCTTGGGTTCTTTAAGGCCTCTAGGAATTTAGCAGCTCATTTTCCTTTGTGGTCCTGTTGTTATAGTACACTGATGGATTTTTGTTGGTTGGTTTGCCAGGTACTGACTAAGTGGTAAGGGTGTGTATTTCAGAGCTTGGTCTGCTCAGGTCTGGATGAGAGATGGCCAGCAGTTGTTAGTCTGTTTTCAGCTTCCAAGGCATCAAAGGCTCACTTTCTCTCAATTTTCAAGTATTCTCAATCCTTGTTGGCCCAGAGAACTGAATGACAGCACGCCAGCCCACAGTGCTAGCAAGTTGTTTTCCACCAACTTTTCCGTATGTGTTGGAAGGCTGATAGGAGGAATCCTGCCTGTATTCCTGGAGCACTGGAGTAGGAAGGGGCTGTCTCTCGTGGAGCAGTGCCGTGGAGGATATATGCTGTATCATCCTTTTGCCCCTCACAGCAGCTGTTTAGCTGGATTTGGTTTTGGACAGGAGGGATGCATGTTAGACAGTTTGAAGGAACCAAGTTAGTAATCAATCCCTTTTGTAACTCAAATGGAAGTCCTTGCACTGGGGGATGTGTCTGCTGATTGTGTGAGGAGAAAGCAAAGAGAGAAAAGCAGGGCAGGGGGGACCACGTCAAGCATTGACTGTCTTTACCAGAGCAATCCTGCCTGAGCTGGATGTCCTGTGTCTTTGGAAAGATACAGCTACCCCATCTGGAACGAGCAAGAAGGCTGCTTTGCCCTGTGAGGTGATCAAGTTCTTCGCATACCTAAGGCTCCTTTTGTACAGATGTGCTTAGAACTCCTGGTGAAGTAAAAATGCAGTGTTGCAAGAACTGTGCAGGGCCTTGTGAATTTGCCTCAGTCCTTGCTGGTATCTTGCTGACAACAGTCATATATATTATTCTTCTTAAACAAGGTTTAAGGTTTAAACCAGAGAAGAATTTCTCTCTGCTGCTGAAATCTCCTATTTTGTCCTTGTGGTGGGAAAATTCCTGGAAAGTATTACCGAGCAGAGCAATACATTGCTGTGGGATGTACCTGGTAGTATTTTAGGAGGTGATGTATGTTTATTACCAAGTGATGACCATTTAATCATTCAGTTCTTTATACACCGTACTCAGCAAATAGTTATGTCAGATAGCGCTTTCTGTCTTGAAGGTGCCCCACCAAAAGTAGGGGGCTACTTCTGCTGTTTTGGACATGTAGAGCAGCATGGGTGAGGAAGGACACTGCTGTGAGAGGGGAAATGGGAGTGGGAGAGAAATGGGATAAGCAGGTGAAAATCAGGCTGGGAGAGGTGTGCTTCTGAACGTGTGCTGACGAGACAGCAGGTGCACCCTGCACGTACCCATTGTGGTTCCTTTCGAAGCACACACGGAGATGGGAAGATCTTGGGCTAGTGGCCACATCTTTTCACCAGTAAGCAATTAGGAAGAACAATCATAAGATGTGATGCTGTTTAGTAGTAGTTCCGTGATCTGCTGTTGCTATATTTATAACCTCAGCAGACAGGCTGGATGTGCTGACTTCTATTCTCCTGATCTTCTTGATTACCCAGAATCTGCTCAGGATGTGCACAGCAAAGAGAGTCTGGATTTCAGGCAACATCACTGACATCTGTTGATATTGTCCTCAGTTGCCTTCCTCTGTTTGCCACAAAGTGAAGCCTGGTTGCAGCATTTCCAGGCAATATTTTTCCAAGCTCTTTTTCGTGTGGACACGTGACATGAGCACAGCTGGGTGCCTAGTGTCTTTCCTTGGCTTTCTTGTAAGCTGACTTCAGATCCTGGCTTTTGATTCAGCCTTGCAGTATATGCTAGTTATAGCCTCCCTCAGTAGTGTGCCTGGTGGCAGCCTGCAAATATCCTCACCGTAGTCTTTCTTCACAAGAGGTTTTGGAGCCTATGTGCCTTTCCAGTGGATGGAGAGGTTCAGGATGCCTCTGTAGCTCCAGCTGCGAGCCCTTAACAGGCAAGATTCACAGTGGCCTGGAGTAATCTTCGCTGCAGAGCGCCAATACCGATTTCCAGGCATGCACAGCAATGCATGAATTAGTTTTAGCTGTGCACCAACACTTCAGTGAAGAGGTGACATCTGGGTGTCATGACCCTTGAGCAGCTAAAAACCAAAGTAAGCACGGAGGCTGATCCCACAGGATGAAAAGCATCATTGAGTGATAGGTGGAAGACACTAAGATTGCAGTACAAGTGCACTCAGGTGAATCCTAGCACATCTTAAACTGATGCACTGAAAGTTTATGCTTCTGAGCAAGAATGTACAATGCAGTTTTTCACTGCTGGTGTGGGCTAAGAACTGGTGACCTTAGCATACAAAACTTCAGCTTGTGACAAGCCCTATCACGTAAAACTTAGCAAATTTCTACACAGATTTTATTTTTCCTAGGCTTCATGGAAGAAGATTGAAATGAACAAATATTGAGTAAATAATCTTGACATTATTGCAGTAGTTCTAATTCCCTGGCTAGTGGCAATAGACACTTCATGTATAAAATTCAGCTGCATAATTCTGCAACCTGATTTCTTTCTGAGACGTAATTTTCTTTCATTTTCATTTTACGTACTTTACTTATCATTTGAACTTATGCTATGGGATGTTAAAGTTCCCATTTTCTGTTCTAATCTTTGCAATCCACCAAAGAATTGGCTTGTGCTTTGACTGTATGATGATGTTGTGCCCCCCGCAAAGTTAGTTTTGTGATACTATATTTCAATAATTTAGCCAGTTTTATAACTAGGACCTTGGAGACTGTAATTAGAGAAGTTCTTTTATGCCAGAATAGTAGCAAATAGGTTAAAGGTCTGCCAGCAGCACCCTTACTAGTATAAAAGTGTATGTGTGCATAAATGGGCATGCATAAATTTAAGCATCAGCGCATGTTACGGAAGAGTGGTCCCTGCATTAGCAATCATGTCTGGTCATGACATTGAGAGGCAGGAAGATGAACTCAACAGAGATTCAATTGTTTATGCTGTTGTTAAAGATCTATTGTCAGCCTGATACGTCTAGGGTTTGTGAATGGAAAGGCTTGGGAGTCCCTGCTTGTGAGGGCAGCGTATGTTTTGAGGTACTTTCTATGGTTTAAAAAAAATGGAAGTTTGAATTGTAACAATTTTAAAATAATGTATGTCTTTCTCAAGGTCCGACAAGAATTAGTTGAAGAATACGAACAAGTTAAGAGCATTGTCAACACTTTAGAGAGTTTTAAAACAGACAGACCTGCAGATATCCCTGTATCCTGTCAAGATGAGCCTTTTAGAGATCCCCCTGTTTGGCCCCCTCCTGTTCCAGCTGAACACAGGTAATGAGAGGCTCAAGCAGACTGGGTGGAATAAAGCTGGGTTGCCATAATTTTATGTTCTTTTTTGAATGCATTTGTAATGTGAAAATCACATTTCATTTACCCTGTAGTCATTTGTAATGAATAAATATAATTCACTGGGAATAAAAGTAATTAAACTGCAGTCAGATTTGTAGCTGAGGTTCTAAAGAAAGTCACTCCTTTATTCTGCTAGGAGTGACTAGCTAAGTGCCTGGAACTAGAGTCTGCGGGAGAGGTAAGTGGGCTTTTGGTGACAGTTGCCTTTCTCATGTGCAGGGACAAAACTTTTCCATTTCGGTTCATTTAAGCAGTTGAATTCATTGATGGCTGAGGAGTTGGCAAGCAGCTGGAACTGAAGGATCTTGAAGGACATAGCGGTTAGAAATCACTCCCTAGCTACAGATAATATGACCTGTGTTTAATCCATTGGTTAGTTTTATTGCTAAACATGTTCCGTTAGACACTGTGTTTCTGTTCTGTAACCGCCTTTAAGGTAACTTCAGTCAGCCGACCGTTTTCTCAAAATATATGCTTGAGCATTTTCTGAAATCCCTATTTTCACCCTAACATAGCTTGATACAGGTTGTTGGGAACAACAAATCCAGTTTAAGACCAACAATAACATTTATCATGCCAACATTTTTCTAACATTATAATAGCAAAGAATTTTAACATATGCGTACTCACATAAGCAAAGGAACTAAGTAAAACAAGAGATCTTCATTAACAGAAAGAATTGCCAAGTTTATTTGTAAATTTATGTGCTTTGTGATTATCAAACCAATATATCTTCATTTTTCAAAACCCCCTAAGAATGTAAGTGTAAAATAATATTAATGCTGATTACTTTTGTGAGTGGTAGAAATTATTATCAGAATTTTTGTGGTAATGTTACATGAAGCGCAAGATGTATTTATTCTTGTATCTTTCTTGGAGGTAAAGGCGCAATAGTTCATCTGCTTTTTTAAGCTGAAATTTAAATCTTGTGCAAATAACTAAGGAAAATTAGCCACTCTTCTGGGCTGATCACTTTGATGAAAATAGATACAAAGCAAAATGTAGCAGTTGTATCCAGCAGTGCATTTAAGTATGTAATCTTTTTAAGCTGCATTCCAGGAAGGTGTTTTACGAGTTAGCAGATTTTGAGTAACTCAGAACAAGAATCAGTAGAAGATTTAATAGGGGGCACTAGTTAAAGGTGGGTGGCATTCTTGGCCATTTATTTTAGTTCTATATTTCAAGTCCACTCCCTAGAGTAAAATGACTGTGACACCTCATCTTAAAACCGAATTCTTTCTCCTCTTGCCACTGCTGAGTTCTCTTTGACATTGTGGGTGATGCACACAAGTATAGGTGATTGCAGTTTGGCTCTGTTTACTTTTGCTTTCTAGGCAATTGTTACGTTTTGACATTTTCACACAGGGGAATGAAGTCAGAGGTGGGAGGATTGTTTTAAAATTCTCCCTCCTTTGTTTTGGGGCCTGTCAAAGCTATTAGGCAGCTTTTTTTTTTTACTTGTGGCTATGAATGTAGCCTAATACAATCTACTGGTTTGGAGTCAGAGGAAACTACAATTTGAAGACTTTTACTAAATTGTTTCCTCTTTTGTTATATGCATGTTGTTTTGTCGTAAGATTGTTTAGGAGTACTGATCTAATAGTATTGTTAATTTTTTTTCCCACTGTTGAAAGTTTTTTTTCCTTCTGTACTTTTTCTTACTTTGGGTGTCAGAAAGAACCAGAAATATGTTGCTGGATTTGCAGGTATAGGGAGATAAGGCTCAGGGGCTTGTCAGCTTTAGTGATAATGCACTAAGGCAATATTAGAATCCTTCCTTCTTAATGCTGCTCTTTTTTTTGCTGTTTTTAGCATGTTTTTGTTGTGGTTACTTATTGTTAGGGCTCCACCTCAGATAAAACGTCCCAACCGAGAAGTAAAACCTCTGAGGAAAGAATCACCAGGACTGCAGCCCCGTGGGCCTGCGGGCAGAGCACATGCGGTATCCAAGGGCGAGAAGTCTGCAGGCAGCCGCGAAAGGGAATCTAGAGCTCGAGGAAGAGATGACAAGGTAAGAAGTGGGAAAGAACCTGGTGGGGAGGAGTTACGATACTGCAGCAGGTGGTGAAGGGAAGCATTCTTAATTTTTTAATACAGATAATAATAAAAGCCACAATAATCCTGTGCAAGAAAACTTGGTACTTTCCTTTTGCCTCATGAATAGAGCATGTATCATGGGGATATTTAGTAATAATGACACCAAATTAAGGAAAGTTCTGTCATGTTTGCTCTGTCCTGATTTTAGAAGATTTTTTGATAGGGAGGAAGCATGGTGGCCTGTTGCTGGGGGTTTCTCATCATCTCAGACCATGGGTTTGACTAGTCTGTCGGTGTCAATCAGGCGTAAAGTCCCTTCTCCTCCACCTTTTTTTTTTTAAAAAAAAAAAAAGGAATCCAGTTCAGGTCTTTTGTAAAGATTTCCATGTAAAAAGTGCGAGAGTGAGACCGGTGCCTTTCTCTAGACTTTAAGCATTATGAATGGAGTTCCACAGTACCATTGCCTCTGCCATACCATAGTAAAATTTGGGTGTGCCTAGAAGTCCAGGACAGTTCTGGAAATGCATTGTTGCTAGGTAAATCTGTGCCAAATTATTTGAAGTTATATATTTGAAAGTGATGTGAGGGAGACGTAATAAAAGCAAACTCTTAGCGACTTTCATTTTCTTTGGTTTATGAAAAGGGTTTTGTCTTTATTATAGTGTTTAGGAAGATGGTTCTTGGAAAGGCTTTGTTTTAAAAATAAAACAAATTGATTAAGTTGGAGATTCTTTCCTCTGAAGAAAGAATTCCTTCCATGAAAAAGAAGCAGCATTGAAGTGAAAGAAAAGGAGAAACGGTAATTCACTATCAAGTAGTGATGTCAAAGGCTGGACTGTTTTGAGGCTGAGAAAAATATGTCCAAATTGCTGTTTCTGAGGCACTTGCATTTTTACATTTAACTGTGGAGTCAGTGCCAGGAACCCAAGGAATCTGTGGTATAAATGATAGAAGTTGAGAATGTACTGAAGCAGCTTTACTTCCTGACAGAGCTATGAGAAGCCCTTTCCTATGGGGGCACACAGTATTGCACAGACTTTGATAGATGGATAAGAAAACCTTGAGGCCAGTTTTCTTCCAAATGAGTTCAGTTAGTCCCTTCGTGGCCTTTCTATCACAGGTTGCTTCTTCTCAGTGCAGAAAGAACTCAAATATATGCTTTTTCCATCATGAATTGCTTTTCTGATACACAGGAAAAGTAATCCCAGCCCTTATTACCATCAGGAGGTAGGGCCAGACACATTTTCAGCAGTGCCGTTGAAAACGACTGCACAGATCAAGTTTAATCATTTCAGATATCTCTCTACCCTAGATCATCAAGATTTAAAATAACAACTGTGCGTCCTGCAAGCTATAAAAAGCTTATGAAGTGAAATTATTTACAGTTCTGCCAGCTATACGGGGAACTGAAGTCGTGGTGTGTGACAGGTTCACCAGCTACGCCTGTGTAAGGCAGGCTTCAAAGTCTGAGCTCTAATGAGAGTGAACTCTGCTCTCGAAGCTTTCCGGTGATGAGCATTATAAGGCTTTACTATAAGGAGCCCACAACAGCATGACTTGTACAATACTTGTCTCTGGGAATAATGCGATTAGCAACACTACTGCTGTCAGATGGAGGAAGAGTCATGAAGGTGTTCCATTTAATACAGTACATTTTAAACACGACTCTTACCCGAATAAATTGGTCACTAGGTGGCAGAAGGAAAATATGTCTGCTCTTCAAAAAATACGAACACATGTGCTCTTGTTTTCACCTTTGTCTGGTTACTTGGTGGTTATTTTACTTTCTTTGTCTGGGGTATTTGTGCAAAAATCACACCAGGTTACAAATTCTCACGTTTTGTATGATGATTTTGGTATGGGATCCATGACTTTGTTTTGAAGAAAATTTTGAATAAAGAGGAAGTAGACAGGTGTGGGAAGTGAGAGAAGTTAATGCAACTTTCTGTATTTTACACACAGGCATAAAAATAGGTTTAACTTCCTTTGCAGTTTTATCCTTTCTTAGTTTGCAAGTGTTTATGTTCTTCAGTTTCCGAACTAAAACTACAAGGAGCCGACCTTTATAGCCTAGTATGTTGAATCAAAGAGGTTCAGAAACTCTTCATGTTCAGTTAGAAATAATAGGGCAAAACTGAAGCTTCAAACTAGGTAACCAGGTATTTCTTTTTTCATAATAAATGTTTCATGTCTGTAGTTCTTGGGTTTGGGTGGCTGGCTAGGACTGCTTAGAACATGTCATGAACTTGGATGCCATATCCATTTCCTAAGATGTTTGTTGCAGTGTAGGAGGTTGTACACTGTCCTGGCTATAATATCACAGTGCAATATGCATATTTATTTGTGATATTTTTCCAGATAAATATAGCTATAGTATGTATGTTTTAGAAATGTTTCATCTCACTGTATACGTGATGCCTTCTTTCACCATTTCTCCTCCCCAGACCATCTAATCTTTTCATTCTGACTGTTAACCATCTTGGGATAAGAAGTTTTGACTGACTATGCCTGTAAAATGACCTTATGTAGTGCTACATAAAATAATTTTGAACTGCAACCCACTGGATGGTGTTTATCCACTGAACCCTTATATTTCCGTGTTACTTTTTCTGAAATACTGCTTTCAAGTGCCTCTTCCTTCTTAGTTCCACTGGATATTATTAGACTTGTTCTCAAGGTACCTTCTGCTGGATCATTGCCAAGGGTTTTCACTTCAGTAGTTCAGCTTAAAGAGGCGGCATAAATGCTACCTGTATGGCTTTTAGAAATTGCATAATACCATATCTAAGCACTAGAACACTCTTTTAGGAGTACTCTTTAGATTATTTTAGATTGCCAGTGGACGAGGACAGTAGATATTGCAAAGGATATGAAATAGCCAAGGGCTGTGCTGCCATTTCAGTGAAGTGAATATTAAAATGTGAAAATATTAAAATGAGGTGGTCATATTTAGGTGGAGGCATAGACCTCCATGCATTGGGAGTGGAAGGCTGCGTGATCTCCATCCGAGAATGCTGAAAGAACCTGTAGGTGAAATTGCAGGGTTGGGAGCAGAGATTTCTAGTAAAACTTACTGGGTCTGCTATTGTCTCATGTGAATGGTGAGTTGTGTTGACGTGCCTGTATTTAGAAGGGGAAAGGAAAAGCGATCTGGGCAACTGAAGTTGTTAATTTTACCTAAACAGTGCAAAGTTTTACAATAAATTTAGAATGGACAAAAAGTGAAGCCTTGAGACTAACTAGAAAGTGGAATAAAGTGAAATACGATTTCTTAAGCAGAGGTGTTGCCTCTGCCAGCACTTTAAGACATTAACTAGAACTCTAAAGAGAGAAATAAACTAATCTACCTGGATACCACATGGGAAGCAATTGGTCAATCTAATGAGTGTATGGTGTAGAAGAATTGTAAGGTGGGGAAGAATTAGGCAGCAAGGAGAGTGTTAAGAAGTGGTACTGAAAGAAGAAGTATCGATCACTGGTATAGTTATGGATTTCCTCAAGACTAGAGACTGACTCTTGTTTTATATTGAAGTTAATGACCTTGGCACAAAAAAAAGAGGCATGCGCTAATTAAATTTGCTGATGACACCAAGTTGGAAAACACCATCACCAAAAGAGGAGGATGAGGCTGTTGTACAGGAGGAATTGGATGACTCTGTGCTGGAGTCATGGAAACGGGATAATGTTCAGTGGTGCAGAGCAACAGGCTGTGTACATGGAGAGAAGAATTTCTGCTAGAAGCTGGGAGCTCAGCAGCAGAGGAGAAGAAAGACTCTGACATATCAGCAGAAATCGGATCGGGCTGGGCTTCATTTGGCACGTCACCTTTTCCTGGTGGTGATGGGAAAGGCTGCCTGCCGGAGTGAGGCATAGCCAGGAGCCATCTTTGGCTTTGGCAGGAAGGGACGGCGAGTGCATCTGGCTCAATGTTTGGGTGTAGTGGGAAGAGTCTGCAGGAAAGCAAGATATCTTCAGGATCCAGTTCTGGCCATTGCAGCCACCAGGGTTATCCTACGTGATCAAACTGTTTGAGGTTGAGTGTAAGGCAGCAGTATGATATAGTTGTGGAAATTAATGTAGATTAAATCTAGGCCCATTTTACTGAGGTGTTACCAGCAGAGAGAAGAGATACCTAGACCAGTATTAGGAGGCCCTGGTGAGACAGCAGCTGGAGTATATTGTGTGCATTTCAACAGCGGTGCTCAAGAAGGGTGTGTTCATATTAGAAGAAAGGATTAAAAAAAGGGGTTGCCAAAGTGAACCGGTAATTGTGTTCAGCTTGTTGTGTTGTGTTCAGCTCCTCTCCAAGAGGAGACTTACTTAGTTTGGTGGTGGACATGTCAACAAGACAACTGCTGAAACTAGCACACAAAATTAGTACAAGAGTAGAAACAGGTTTTGGAAATGAGGTTTTTGTTCCAGTGGAGTGGTACACATCTGATACACCTTCCTGACGGAAAGCCCAGCAAATTTTTTAAATGTGCTGAAGTCAGAACTTGGTCGGCTGAGAAGGTTACGTGATGAGATTGCCAAGTGTGATAACAGTCCTGTATACCTCTGTCAGTTGGCATACCTGCCATTGCAGAACCTTTATTTAAAGATATTTCGGGATAGTAATACCACAATAAGTGATGAGGATCTGACTGGAAAAATTATGCTTACTCCTGCTGCCTGGATTCAGGTGACATTTTTAAAAATTACTTTCCCTAGTCTCTGCTCACCTGCTGACTGAGGATTGCATGTTGGACCAATGTGGGACCAACATTAATAATCTTTTTACATGTGAAAACTGTAAACACTTTAAAACTTGGTTTAATTCCACAACTGCAAAAAACCAAAACATTCAGTGTCACTAAAATGACAGCCAAGGTGATGCTGAAAGCACAGCTCCCAGTTGACTGCCCTTCTCTCTCTCTGTTGGCCACAAGGAGCAGGAAAAATAACTGTCCCAGGACAAGCAAGCAGCATGGGCCCAGGCAGCGGGGGTGCGGGGCTGGGCCCCCCTGCAGCCGGCTGCTGCCGCCCTCCTTGCCGCTGGGCCGTTCTTTCCCTGTTTATTTCTATATTTTTCTGGCTCTTTGAGCTGCAACACTGCCGGGCCTGGTGTCGCTGCAGTGCCTCATTTGCGGGTTCAGCGCCTTTCTGGCACGGCAAAGGGGCTGCGCGTTGGTCTGCCAGCCGGGATCGGGGATGGGGGCTTGGGCTGCTGCCTCGGCCCCCTCCACAGTGCTGCAGCGATCCGCCCTGCCTTTACTGCTTTTTAAAGCCTGCCTTAGCGCTGTTTCACCCAGAAAAAAACCAAAACAGACGATTTGTATTGAGATGTGCAGAAAAATTCTTCCACTAGGCAAACCAGCCCATTGCAGAGGGATAGAAGTGTGTAACAAAGGCAGGCAGCAAGTACCTTTGATTTCATTGTCTTTTTTTTTTCCTTCTTTCTTTTTTTTATAGTTACATTTGGATTCCATTTGCTCTTTCCTGAATCTTCCAAGCTCTACAGGGCTTTTTTTCCCCGTTTCCTTTGTACGCCAGACCATTACATTTTTGACACCAGCTTTTAGTCTAAACACAACTTTCAGCTTCATTTCCATTGCAAAAAACTGATCAGGGAGTACTAAACAACACAGAGTTCACTTGGAAGCAAGAAATAAAAATTTCTCTCTCACAGGCCTCATGGGCAAATGGCAATTGGGAGGCGTGTAATCGCTACCTTTTTCTTTTTCCACTGCGAGGTTATTTGTGTGTCTCCAGCTGCCTCTCAGCCCGCCTTTGCCTAGGCTGCTTTTGTCCAGCCAGCTGGGATTCTTTAACTTGCTGCTGATAGTGTTTAGAAGCTGATTTAAGAGTCCTAAAGTAGCTCCCTACTCAGCCTCCATGGTTAAAACAGCGCAGCTGCTTTTCAGGCACTGCCACAAGCTGCCGTTGAGCTGGGAGGGGAAGCGGTTTCCTTCTAAAGTGGGAGAGGAGGAGCGTGAGCCATGATGCTTCAAAGGGAAAATGTGACTTCACCCCCATAAGTTTAACAGCACTGTTGGAAGTATTAACCAGAAACTCTGGGCTGTTTGGGGCAGAGGTAGTGTGTCGTTTGGTCACTGAATGAGCATTGGCATGCTGCAGAAATTGTTGTAGTTCAAAGAAGCCTGAGTGTATTGGGAGCTTCTTTAGGGCTTTTGGTGCAGCCCTTAAATGAGTATGACCTTTAAAAAACATTTTAACTGTTTATGGAGCTGGCCGGTGAATGAGAGGAGGGAAACAGGTGGATTGCAGTTGAGGAAAGGAGAAATTGCTGGGCGGAAAAGCCTTTGTTAAACAAGGGGAGAGAATCTTGGTTTTCCTCCATCAAAGATGGGCATAACAGCTTTTGGGTTCCTCTTCAGTGATGGTGGGGTGCCAGTTGTTTAGCTCTGATAGGTAGTGTGGCAGGTGTGGCATCTTCAAAATATGCTTTGGATGCTGTGGTCTTCAGCCGTGAGTTAATGTAGCATTACGTTGTGACGCAACCTGCTTTGTGGGGCTGTTTCTGCATTTGTGCCTTCAGCTGACCGGGAAGTGTGTTAGTTGTCTAAAGAGTGCTTTAGCACTGTTAAGAGGGTCTGGTTTGCTGCTTTAAAACCAACCAACCAACCCACCCACCGTGATATGTAATGAACTCTGATGGGGTTTTATCACTGCGAGCTGCATCTTTGAAAGAAGCATGGTGCTGTTCTGGTGGAAGCAACCACAGGTGTTTGGGGACCCTTTTTGTAAGGTGTGAACATCTTGGTTTTGCTGGCCATGGTGGTGCTGAGATAGCTGTGTTCAAGCTTGATACCTTCTTGTGGCTTCTACAGTGGTGAACCAGACAATTTTGCTGTATATTGCTAGTAAAGGATATGTTGAAAGAATAATGTTCTTATGACTTTCACTTCTAGG